AAACCTTGGCTATAAGGCATGCCGAAAACAGATGTACTTTATAGCCACAAACCTTGGCTATAAGGTATGCCGAAAACAGATGTACTTTATAGCCACAAACCTTGGCTATAAGGTATGCTGAAAACAAGTGTACTGTATAGCCACCAACCTTGGCTATAAAGTATGCTGAAAACAGATGTACTGTATAGCCACAAACCTTGGCTATAAGGTATGCCGAAAACAAGTGTACTGTATAGCCACCAACCTTGGCTATAAGGTATGCTGAAAACAGATGTACTGTATAGCCACAAACCTTGGCTATAAGGTATGCTGAAAACAGACGTACTGTATAGCCACAAACCTTGGCTATAAGGTATGCCGAAAACAAGTGTACTGTATAGCCACCAACCTTGGCTATAAGGTATGCTGAAAACAAGTGTGCATACTTCGTAGCCTCAAACCGTGGCATACCGAAATATGCGTACTTTATAGCCACAATTGAGAAACCATGGCTATAAGGTATACCGAAAACAGACGTAAACGGGCCTACTTTGAAAACCATTGCTATAAAACCATTTTATAAACCGCATTGACCATTATTGTTTTTCCAGGAATGACGGATGAGCTGGTAAAAGAAAAGCATTTACTGAATCTTCTTGAACAACTACCACCAGCAAGAAAGTCGACTACCCTTTTTTTAATCGATCATTTACGAAGGTACGGTACGATTCAATCAATAATTGTTCGTTCTTGTTGTTGTAAAAATATACCGTATTTCTACCAATATCATTTTTATTAGTCAATTTAAGCCCAGGGCAAACTAGGAAACATTGTGGTGGAAACATTTGTGATTCTCGATGTTTCCTCAAATGTTTCCCTGTTTGCCCACCCGTGGAAACATTGTTGCGGAAACAAAATTTGCTTCCCGAGAAGCAGAAATGTTTCCTAGCGAATTCAGAAACATTTGATGTTTCCCTATGTTTCTCACTAATGTTTCCTAGTGTTTGCCCACTCTGGGAAACATGGCGAAACATTGGCAGGAAACAATGTTTCCGCAACAATGTTTCCTAGTTTGCCCAGGGCTTTACTCGATTCTAGAATGTGCCGATAAACAATGTCGCACATTTGCCATGAAAAGTGTTCGAAACCTAAAATCTTTTTGGTTTTCTTCTCAAAATTACTTTGTTTCAGTTTTTTTTTAGTTTTACATAATGTTAGTAACCTTTTTAATTGTATCTGGCGGTCGAGGAATACAATATAATAGTTAAATATTGTCAATTTAAAAACAATATCATTGATAAGTTCTTTGTAGGTTTGCAATTTGCATGGCGATAAAACATATAATACTTTACTCTTTAGTTTGTGGGAACACCACGTAAATAAATAAATTAATTAATTAATAAATAATAAAGTAATAAATTTGCAGTAATAAATTTACGTGGTGTATCCACAAACTAGAGTATTATAATATTATTGATGCTGTACAAGTGACGCCATATTTATACAGCATTTATATATTAAAGCAAAACTTACCGAACTTCAGACATCATTTTCTCTTTGGCGTAGTCTAAAATCTCTTCAAAAGCACTAAACATACTTTTTAAGTTTGAGTGATTAAGATATCGATTTATTTCGATAAAAATATCGAAACAAATTATGCCATTATTCAAAAAAATTCTGAAAGGATTTCCCGCTTTTTTTCTAGAGTGAGCCAAAGCGAAGCTGAAAACAAAATGTCGCTTGGTAACCTCGCCACAATATTCGGACCGAACCTTTTACGACCACCACCGAAGGAGAAGACTTACGAAACGTCGAGCACTTCCGAAAGCATCGCCAGGGAGATGGCGTCAGGAACCCTTAACGCGATGTCACAATCGTCGATTTTCTATTGGTTCTTGAGGTCGAAAAGTGACAAAATCAGTTTGCCTGCAACACCCGAAATCACCCGTAGACTTTTTCCGTCCAAAAAGGAGGTAGTTAAGCCAAGGCTGTCGTCTCAATCCGAAGATAAATTAATTTAAAGGATAGTTTTTGAGTATATACACAAGTAGGCTTCTTCATGCATTCGCAAGCCTGACATATGCAGTATACGGGATATTTTAAAAAGTAGTTAGCAATTTATTAGAGGAATATAAGAAATATAGATTTTAAGGTGTTCCCTATATAGAAGTATAAGGGACCAGTCAATATTTATGGCGGGGCTTGCCGGCTTGGCACCAAAGAGAAATGTTTTTCTATTAAAAAGTCAAAATTGTTTTACCCAACCTCAAATAGCATTTAAAAAATAATATACCCACCCCTGGGCAAAAATGTTACAAAAGGATACCATTCAGTTGTCACACATGTCCTTTACCACTTCTGTGACACAAGTTTGATAACTGCTTGTGCAATTTTCTGCAGTCTAAAGTTTCATGTTGTCTGCACATGTACTTTCTTTGGAAACGCCATTTGCCTCCCGACAAATCGAAAAATGATCAAGATAGTGACTCTGATTGATTTATGTACATATTGTATTGACATATGACTGTTGACATTGCATTCTAGTCTTCAATATTTGAGTGAGTCATGCTTTGGAAATGACAATACATTTGTATTACTCAACCCTTGAGTTGTTTTGTTTTTCATTTACCCCACCCTTTTCTCTTTGGTGCCACCCCTCCCCCGCCATGAATAATGACCGCTCCCTAAATGCCGAGTGCGTGGATAACTTTCAGTTCAGACTGAAATTTGAGTTGTGGATGTATAAAAACGTGGGTAACATGTGCCAGAATCGCATCGCAAGTCGCAGCAAACATTTTGCCTCTTTATATTGTCGATTTCAAGTCACTTTTCAAAACGCGGGTCCCAAGTTCGTTGCAAACTTGCCAATTACGTTTCCAAGTTTGAAAATTGGACGCGAACTTCGCAACGAAGTTCGCAAGTACATCTCAATGTTTGAACTTCGTTTGTAAACAAATGTTCATACTCAATGATAATAACCAATTCAATGAAATAGAAACCTTCTTGGTAGCCCGTACTGGACCAAGAACTTTCCATTGAATTGTTAATTTCAACTTGAACTATGGACATTTGTTTACAATAGTTCAAACATTGAAATGTTCTTGCGAACTTTGTTGCGAAGTTCGCGCCCAATTTTCGAACTTGGAAACGTAATTGGCAAGTTTACAACGAACTCGGGATTCCGCGCAATGGAAAACCGGTTTGAGAGTTTGGAATCAGGAGACCTTGGTTTGCTATTCTTGATGCTTTCCAAACATGAACTATCATCAGATCATGTAATGTATTTAAGTTAAAACATAGTTGGAACACTCATCAGACTTTAATAAATGTCCTGTTAATACTTTTTAATTAGAATCAGTAGCCGAGCTGAAACATCTAACCAACCTCGTGTTCCATACCAAAGGGATCTTGGACAAGTCAAAGTACTTTTATAAGACCACCATTATGTGGAAATAACTTTTTACTATATGAGATGAGATAGAAAAGTACGCATTCTATATCAGTTATTTCTGTGTGCAACTGTATATCAACGTGCCATCCATATAGAGCTTCGAATTCATCAATTTCTTCGCAATCAGTGGCATTTTTTATTGACTTGGTTTTATTTTTACATATTTTATCAAATTTTCGGACAAATTAAATGTCTTACTATACAGTCAAAATCAATTGTCGAAGGGCGCTTTCCATTCAATATGGTCTGGCTGGTCAGACCTGAATTTTTGTCTCTGTATCAATGGAAAGATCTGGTCTATGTTTCTCAAATATCTAGCGAAAATGGACCTCATTCTAATGTTATCTAAATTTTCCTGTCAGATATAGGTCCAAAGCCCAAACGTTTTGTGTTCCATTCAACAATTTGACCGTTCTGACATGGAAAGCGCCCGAAAGTCACGTCCAGATTTTCTACCTCTTAAAAATCCAAGCCCCTTTTAAGAAAAAGCAGGTTCACTTTTCAATTGAACTGGTGCCATTTCAATGGTGTGGAGTCGCCTATTGAGAAACCAGACATCCAATTGAGAAACAGACACGGTTGAGCTCTCAACCGTAATTTAGGAACTATATCCTGTGTCTTAATATCATTTTTGAGCTTCAATTCAAAGATTTTGTAAGGTATACGTTTGGAATATTCGACATTTATGTATAAGATATTTGTCAGTTTCTTGTTTGCGAGCAGGCTATATACCGCCATGTTGTTTTAAAATATCCCGACCCCTTTTGAGAAGAAAACAGCAGGTCAGAAGATATTCCGGTCCATGCAACGAGGATATAACACGCGACAATTTTCAACGACGATTCGTAATGTATAACTCGCGTTGCCTAACCTAACAAATTTCCTGTGATATTATTTGAATTACAAACGGTCATTCAAGATCGTCGTTGAAAATCGGTACACTGCTGCACCGGCATCGCAGGCCACAGCTTCGATTACTGCTAGAGGGGCCAGTCGTTGCATTTTTCGCAACTCTCCTCTGGTTAGGTTTTAAATTTCTTCATAAACTTCTGTTCGACTGTTAGTTGTATCCAGCGAGTTGTCCAAAAATCTCCATATCAAAGAAACAGGTCATGTCAGGCAAAACCCTCTTTCAAAATTATGGCGTCTTATGAGATATCATGCAGGTATCTTTTGAAAAAACTAGACCACCTATTTCGGAAGAACAGGTCTTCATTGTGAAAAAAGTTGACCCCCACTTTTTTGAAAGCAGGTTTCCTTTTCAAACCAAAAACGAAGACTCCGGTTATTTTAACAGCATGCTAACCTAGCGGCCGTGTTGTATCAGATATATGCCACAAACACGACCCGGAAATATATAGTTTCGGAGATCGGTCTTGATGAAACGTTCGATCAAAAAGTTTATTTAAATGGCTCCTTTACGGTAATGCTTCCTAATAGGATCGCCTTTTCGAAATGAACAGGTTTCTTTTTCAAATTTAAAAGCTACAGACCCCTAAAGCGTATGACTCATCCCCAATATATTCAATAGCAGTTATATAAAGGGCGGTAGAATTTGCCTTAAACCATAACTTTCTTGCTTAGCCTTGGAGCTTTGAAATATTGGACTATTGAGATATTTTGTGATAACATTGTCAGGTATGTTGTTTTTAATATAATAACTTTTAGACCGAACGAACAAGGAATGAAGGAAGTTTTTCCTTGACAAGTTTATTTGCCGCTCGTGTGACAATATTTCCTGGCGAAGCAGCCTTGTTCCAAAACTAGTCATGTCGGCTTTTGGACAAGCAAAATTTGTTCGTGTGTACGACCGCCAAGGAAACTAGTTGACAAGTGTACAAGAATACGGTACTTCAAGACAAAAGTTTTGACTTTTGACTGAACAAAAGGCGGTCTTGACGTGAGCTAAATGTCAACTTTCCGTATACACAAGCTACAAAACTCGTCAAGGAAACCACCTCGGCCGAACGGGAGCTTTATTCTTCTAGTGTAAAGGGGGACGAATGATCCAACAACTAGTGATCAGATAAATAACTATAAACCATGCATGATATGCTTACAATTATAGAAAGCTTAAAAAATCACTATCGCAGTCGTACTGTATATAGAACAATATAAGTAGAAAATGTTTTCGAGTGTGTATTTCATAATTTCCATACCCAGCGTAAGCAGAAAGATAAAGTCTGCCGCGGCTGGTTCTTGAACCCACGACCTTCGAATTACTAGATCGACGCTCTACCAACTGAGCTCAGTCTTAATGTCGATCTAGTAATTCGAAGGTCGCGGGTTCAAGACCCAGCCGCGGCAGACTTGATCTTTTTGCTTACGCTGGGTATGGAAATTATGAAATACACACTCGAGAACATTTTCTACTTATCATATTACGGAGTGAACAATAACACAACATAATAGAACAATATATATATGTGCTGATAAATTTTGAATGTTTGATTCCTTTTTACAGAAGATGATTGGATATCTTGTGTTCGCCTTTGTCGTTGTTGCTACAAATGCAACCGAATACGACGCGCGGTAGGTTTTATTAAAAATAGGTACGCAAGCGTACATGTGTCTACACTGAAAGTTACTGTTGTTACTTTTCTACTGTGATCTACGGGGCATCACCGGTCACCTTCGTTGTATATTTTTATTTTGTTTACAGACTCACAAGTTATGGTTTAAATGCTTGGGAACTACAACAGCAGAAATTGAAGGAACAAGATGGTATGTAACCATAGCACAGTCAATCAGGACAGGTACACACGTAAAAACGAGGTACACACGTAAAAACGCACAAGTTGTTACAAGTCTGCAAACAAGTTGTTACAAATCTGTTCACAAGCTGTCAACAAGTTGTGTTCGCACTGCTTGTTCCCAGTTGTTGTAACAAGTTTGGAACAAGCTGTTAACAATTTGTAATAACCTTGTTGATATTATCAGACTTGTCACAAGGTTGTTCTAACAAGTCTGATATAAACAAGAATGTTACAAGGTTGACGACACAAGGTTGTATAACAATACTGCTATATCATGAATGTATCGGACTTGTTGGAACAACTATGTAAAAAGCCTGATAATATCGACAAGGTTGTTACAAATTGTTAACAGTTTGTTTCAAACAAGCAGTGCGAACACAACTTGTTGACAACTTAGTCAACTTGTTGGCAGACTTGCTACAAGATGTGAGATTTTTGCATGTGTAGCTCGCTCTTGTTGTATTGGAACTTGTGATAAAGTTCAATTCAGTTCAGTTTAACTCAGTCCAGTTTAATTTAGTTTAGTTAAGATAAAGGATGACCTTTATACTGGACCTCCGCAGAGAAATAAAAGCCTATCCAGTATAAACAAGGCTAGTTTGGTTTATTTTTCCTCTTATCAGGGACGAGCCTCACTCACAGAAGAACTAATGGAGATATCCAACATAAATTAGTTTAGTTTAGATTTCCTTCTGTAACGACACCACCAGAATAGTATCTGTGTATAAAGTTATCCAATATAAATAAAGATTGTTTGGTTAAAATCAATTCTATATATCTCCACAGGGTTGATAACAGGAGTGTTTAAAAAAGTTCCACCTGGTAAATACATTTACGACTGGAATAATGAAATCTTCACGATACCACGTAATGCAACCAAGGTTACTGTAATTAACCATGACACCAACACTGTTCAAATGCGTAAGTCATGGTTATTAATGTAATATTACCGAAAATACTAAACTAAACTATAACGCCCACGTCGAGAATTAACCACAAATTCAACTGGACTTTTTAGCTCAATTGCAGAGCGCTTCACCGGAATTGCATAGCCGCAGGTCGATTTTGAATAATCAGATGATCAACCAGCTGATTATCAATTTCCATTATATAGTAATACAAAATGACTGAAAAACGGCAAACTTCGCAAGGCTGTATATTATCCGCATTTTACAACATTTCGCAACGTAACTTCGGAATATTACTAATTTTGTGATGCTCTTTCAAGCTGTGATGTAATTTTTGTCCAGGCATATCTAGATCAAAATTTCACTCATAAGGGGAAAGGTCTATTGAAATCTCACTAACTCGAACCAACTTGACTTCGTAGCTCAGTTGGTAGAGCATTGGACTAGTATCCCAAAGGTCGCGGGTTCGCCGATTCCCACCGTGGTCAGACAAACATTTCAGCTTGCCCGGTGTGGATGCACACTCAAAGTAACATTACAAAGATCGTTTTCCTTTGAGTACATAACGCCAACACACACAAAAAGTATAATTTACAGTAGTGTTTAAAAATTTACAAGGATAGAAATTTAACTATGAATATTAGAATAGTATAGCCATGCAATTCTTTAGTGATTGTTTGAAAGAGTTCAGTGTGACACTCTCTTTAGCCGTGTTTACACTACGAGCCTAAGCCTGGCCTAGGCCTAGCTTTGGACTAGATTTTTGTAGTGTAAACGCACTTCGGTCTGGCCTAGGCCAGGAAATCTGGGTCCATCAGAACAGGTGGCCCAGATTTCCTGGCCTACGCCAGGCCGAAATGCGTTTACACTACAAAAATCTAGTTCAAAGGTAGGCCCAGGCCAGGCTTAGGCTCGTAGTGTAAACACGGCTTTTGACATAGTTCGGTAGCGGCTGTATTTAATAAAATGATTGTTGTGCTGCGCTCGTTCACATTTGGGTATGTCAAGTGCTTGTAAACGTTTTCTGGAGTACTTTTCAGTGATGTAACGAGTCACCTACCACGAGTCCAGTTGAGTCATTTCAGTTTCTGATCGAGTCAAGTCAGCGGCTTCACTCGAGTCAAGTCGAGTCGAGTCAGCGGCTTCATTCGAGTCGAGTCAATAGCTAAACTTGACTTGAGTCAGGGAGTTTGATTAAGTCCACCCCCATGCTTTCTACACGGCTAAAAACGCACAGATTCTTCTAAGTTGATATCGACAGGCGTGAACAATGTTGTGCGGCCAACTATGAACAAGTTGTCAACCATGTTGTTCCAAGTTGTTACAGTTGAACAATGCTGTAACAACATGTTGACAATACTGTTCATAGTGTGCCACACAACCTTGTTCACGCCTGTTGATATCAATCTGGAACAAGTTGTTGATTTTCTCAATTTTTACGCGTGTATAATGGTTCGCTACCCTAGCTTGCCTTTGATTTTAAATTTCCACAGTGGTTGGTATCAAAGGGTCACATTATGGCAACATTCCGTCTCATTGGAAAAGGGTGCCTGAAGACGTCGTGAACCAGCAAATAGAACATAATTATAATGGCGTCAACGTTCATTACTTCAGATCTGGCACTCAATCGCGCATTACAATTGACGGTAAAATACTTCTAAAACACGTTTTTGACGGGATGAGATAGGAATATATATTGTGTTTTTTCTTGCTCGAACTTTCAGTGTAGTGAATGGTTATCTGTTGGTAAAATTCTGATCATGAATTTATTCTTAGGTCCAGTGAATCCAGTAAAAGACGACAATACTCAGTATAATTTATGCGTTGTTGCCGCAAAGGGGGAACAAGGTTCTTATGGACTTGCCAATATTAAATTTTCGTACACAGCTCACAAAGAAGACGCATCAGTTAATGTGGTGGCAACTAAATATGATGCACAGTAAGTTATGCATGTCTGCACAAATTAGTCTCATCGATTTTTCTTACTGCTGTTGGTTTTTGTTCTGGTGGTGCATTAATTCAGTGTTGTTCATGTTACTGTTGTTACTGTTCTTGTTGTTGTTGTTGTTGTTGTTGTTGTTGTTGTTGTTGTTGTTGTTGTTGTTGTTGTTGTTGTTGTTGTTGTTGTTGTTGTTGTTGTTGTTGTTGTTGTTGTTGTTGTTGCTGTTGTTGTTGTTGTTGTTGTTGTTGTTGTTGTTGTTGTTGTTGTTGTCGTTGTCGTTGTCGTTGTTGTGGTCGTCATAGTAGTTGTTGTTGCTGTTGTTGTTGTTGTTGCTGTTGCTGTTGCTGTTGTTGCTGCTGTTGCTGTTGCTGTTGTTGTTGCTGTTGCTGTTGTTGTTGCTGCTGTTGCTGTTGCTGTTGTTGTCGTTGTCGTTGTTGTCGTTGTTGTTGTTGTTGTTGCTGTTGTTGCTGTTGCTGCTGTTGTTGTTGCTGTTGCTGTTGTTGTTGTTGTTGTTGTTGCTGTTGCTGTTGTTGTTGTTGTTGTTGTTGTTGTTGTTGTTGTTGTTGTTGTTGTTGTTGTTGTTGTTGTTGTTGTTGTTGTTGTTGTTGTTGTTGTTGTTGTTGTTGTTGTTGTTGTTGTTGTTATTGTTGTTGTTGTTGTTGTTATTGTTGTTGTTGTTGTTGTTGTTGTTGTTGTTGTTGTTGTTGTTGTTGTTGTTGTTGTTGTTGTTGTTGTTGTTGTTGTTGTTGTTGTTGTTGTTGTTGTTGTTGTTGTTGTTGTTGTTGTTGTTGTTGTTGTTGTTAGGGGGCGACGCTCTTTGAAAAAACCCTAAGGCTCCGTCATTACTTGTCTGATCGGAGTGAAATTTGACACAATTATTCTAAGCAATATTCCGCATCTATTAGTTCTATTGACTTTAGAAGCAAGATACAAGCAATTTTTTACTGTATTCGTAGCAAATAATATATACATATCATTAATATTCAGCAAATATATCAGCAAACGCAAACGATAAGAAAGACATTGTCTTGTCTATTGTTGTGAACACAATCACAATAGTCTAAGGCAGCGTTTACACTGTACCGTTTTCGTAGCGTTCTCGTATTGTTCTTAATCCTCAAGGGAACGCAAGACAATAGTCTAGTTCTCTCGAACAATACGAGAACGCTACGAAAACGGTACAGTGTAAACGCTGCCAGAGATATGTGCTGGTAGTAATATTTCAAATCCGAGTTAGTGTTTTAGACGTGGTTTCTAAATACAAGTGCCATGAACAATGGCGAGGCGCAGCCGAGCCATTGTTCATGGCACTGGGGATTTGGAAGCCAAGTTTAAAACACTAACGAGGATTTGAAATTGCTTCTCACACATCATTAGACTTTCATAGCAACGAGGCATGAAATTATTAGATATTCAAAAAAGTGAGCGTGGGCATTAACGATTACATTCGCTTGAAAGTTTGCATGAAGTGCAACGAAGCATTCAGTTCGCTTTCGTCGTGAATAGATTAATTTTGTTGGCAAAAGAGCATGGTATCTTCTTATAATATAAGAAAAAGCGGTTTCGAGAACCAGAAAGTGTTGAGCACAGTATTGTGCACAGTATTGTCGCTCGGCTGACAAGGTTGGGGATCCGAAAAACGATATATCAGATTGTGTGTGCGATAAGGCGCTATCTGGTGGAAAATGAAAGAGCCAAAGTGAATATATATTTTATAGACGGTAAACATTACTGGTAAGTTGCTGTATTATAGTGTTTAAAGCGCTGTTTATTATGATAGTTGGTAAAAAAGTTGGTTTTCCTATATTTATGTAGTTTTCAAACGTTCAGGAAAAGTGTTAGCTATAAAGTGTAGTTAGAATAAATTTCTAAATACAACTTACTGTATTTAGAAATAATTCTAAACATAGCAATTTTAATTATATTTTTAATTTATATTTAAAAATATATTTGCATTAATCTTTTGTTTACCCCTCAATTTCCCTATTGTTCAAAGCCCTTCCCACTTGAAGTAATTAAAGTCCTGGTCTAGACGGGATATCCAGATAGATACACGTGATGTAAATTAAACCATGTCATTGGCCGAAATGCTATGAATATCTAATGATGTATGAGAATATCAATTATTTGTCAGCGACATGTGATTTTATTATCCAGATAGATACACGTGATGTAAATTAAACCATGTCATTGGCCGAAATGCTATGAATATCTAATGATGTATGAGAATAAATCAATTATTTGTCAGCGACATGTGATTTTATTTCAATTCTTTGTCAACGACATGTGATTTTATTTCAATTCTTTGTCAGCGACATGTGATTTTATCTGATATTTCAATTCTTTGTCAAGACATGTGATTTATTTCAATTCTTCTTCAATTCTTTGTCATAGACATGTGCTGGTATTTCAATTTTGTCATAGACATGTGCTGGTATTTCAATTCTTATTTGTCATAGACATGTGCTGGTATTTCAATTCTTTGTCATAGACATGTGCTGGTATTTCAATTCTTTGTCATAGACATGTGCTGGTATTTCAATTATTTGTCATAGACATCTACTGGTATTTCAATTCTTTGTCAGAGACATGTGCTGGTATTTCAATTGTTTGTCATGTGCTGGTATTTCAATTCTTTTTCATAGACATGTACTGGTATTTTAATTCTTTGTCATAGACATGTGCCGGTATTTCAATTCTTTGTCATTGTGCTGGTATTTCAATTTTTTTGTCATAGACATGTGCTGATATTTCAATTCTTTGTCAGAGACATGACTTGGTATTTCAATTCTTTGTCAAAGATATGTGCTGGTATTTCAATTCTTTGTCATAGACATGTACTGGTATTTCAATTCTTTGTCAGAGACATGTGCTGGTATTTCAATTCTTTGTCAGACGACATGTGCTGGTATTTCAATTCTTTGTCAGCGACATGTGATGTTATTTCAATTCTTTGTCAGAGACATATGCTGGTATTTCAATTCTTTGTCATAGACATGTACTGGTATTTCAATTTTTTGTCATTGACATGTACTGGTATTTCAATTCTTTGTCATAGACATGCACTGATATTTCAATTCTTTGTCATGTACTGGTATTTCAATTCTTTGTCATAGACATGTGCTTGTATTTCAATTCTTTGTCATAGACATGTGCTGATATTTCAATTCTTTGTCACTGGTATTTCAATTCTTTGTAATAGACTTGTGCAGGTATTTCATTTCTTTGTCATAGACTTGTGCTGGTATTTCAATTCTTTGTCAGCGACATGTGATGTTATTTCAATTCTTTGTCAGAGACATATGCTGGTATTTCAATTCTTTGTCATAGACATGTACTGGTATTTCAATTCTTTGTCATTGACATGTACTGGTATTTCAAATCTTTGTCATAGACATGTACTGGTATTTCAATTCTTAATTATCATAGACATGTGCTGGTACTTGAATTCTTTGTCGTAGACATGTGCTGGTATTTCAATTCTTTGTCATAGATATCTACTGGTATTTCAATTCTTTGTCAGAGACATGTACTGGTATTTCAAATCTTTGTCATAGACATGTACTCGTATTTCAATTCTTTGTCATTGACATATATTGGTATTTTGATTCTTTGTCATAGACTTGTGCAGGTATTTCAATTCTTTGTCATAGATTTGTGCTGGTATTTCAATTCTTTGTGAAAGACATGTGATGTTATTTCAATTCTTTGTCAGAGACATGTGCTGGTATATCATCAATTCTTTGTCAGCGACATGTGATTTTATTTCAATTCTTTGTCAGCGACATGTGATTTTATTTGATCAATTCTTTGTCATAGACATATACTGATATTTCAATTCTTTGTCATAGACTTGTGCAGGTATTTCAATTCTTTGTCATAGACTTGTGCTGGTATTTCAATTCTTTGTCAAAGACATGTGCTCGTATTTTAATTCTTTGTCAGAGACTTGTGCTGGTATATCAATTCTTTTTCAGCGACATGTGATTTTATTTCAATTCTTTGTCAGCGACATGTGATTTCATTTCAATTCTTTGTCAGCGACATGTGGTTTTATTTGATCAATTCTTTGTCAGAGACATGTACTGATATTACAATTCTTTGTCATAGACATGTGCTGGTATTTCAATTCTTAATTATCATAGACATGTGCTGGTACTTCAATTCTTTGTCATAGACATGTGCTGGTATTTCAATTCTTTGTCATAGACATCTACTGGTATTTCAATTCTTTGTCAGAGACATGTGCTGGTATTGCAATCGTTTGTCAGAGACATGTGCTGGTATAACGGGTCAAACTAAATCAAAATTGTGATTCAGATTGGGCCGACATTTCAGCTGGTGTTCCACAAGGTACTAAGTTGGGGCCGTGGCTGGTTATCATAATGATAAATGACTTAAAGATTAATGATAGTAATATATGGAAATTTGTGGACGATACAACTTTAGACGAAATTGTTGGGAAAAACGAAGAAAGTAAAGTTCAAACCCTTATAGATAACCTAACAAAACAAATCTCTGCGAGCCAATTCAAACTTAACGAAACGAATGCAAGGAATTACGAATTGGATTCTGCAAACCAAGAGCAATGTCTGACCCTATTATAGTATTTTGCAAACCAAGAGCAATGTTTGACCCTATTATAGTAAATGGAGAAATGTTGGAAGTGGTCGACAGTGCTAAAATCCTTGGTCTGACGGTTTCTAACAATTTGAAATGGAACAATCACTATGACTAAATTATATCGAAGGCGCGAAAGCGTCTCTATTTCCTCTCCCAACTTAAGAGAGCGAGAGTTGGCACGAAAGAACTTGTCCTATTCTTTACAACGTGCATAAGACCAATCCTAGAATACGCAAGTTCTATATTCCATAATGGTTTGACAAATTACCTCAGTCAGGATTTGGAGCGGATCCAAAAGAGAGCATTGCGAATTATCTCACCTTGGGTCTCATATGAAAACGCTTTACAATCAACTGGCCTCCAACGACTCAGCCATCGAAGAGTCGGTCTTTCAGACAAACTATTTGAAGAAATAGTGGCCAATGAAGCCATTCCTATGGGTTATATACATGTACTTATCTTAAAAGCAAATTCCTACACTAGCCAGTAGAAGTCAATGGGCTATTCCATTTAATATCCGTAGCTCCCCCCTCCCCCATCGAGGAACTTGGAATTCTTCTGGGGTAAGTTGCTTTTTAGCCCTGGAATTCCTCAGGAGTAAACAAATTATCCTTGCTGTGGAATTCTTCAGGGGTTGGGTATTTTGAATGACTAATTTCTTCAGAGTCAAAGGCAAAAATTGAAATTCTTTAAGGTAAATGCTGAATTATTTAAAGAATCACAGTCAACCAAGATGCATTGCGCGCTAAAATGTTTACATTGTTTTGTATTCCGCCATTTTGTTAGCCAGTTTATTGACATCCGAAACGTATCCGTTATATCAATCTGCATTATTCTTAGACGATGTCATATTTTCAATAGTTGGAATATGTTAATAGATCATTGATTGATATTTTGGCGTGTGTGTTAATCCCCCCTGCCCATATTTTGGGGAGGGGGGTCATTGCATCAAGATTTCTAAAGCCTCTGTATTTCCAGACAGTATTCAAATACAAAATTAGCCTGCATAGCCAGCCTTCATTTTAATAATAATAATAATAATAATCTGTTTAATTAATCACATTGCAGTCTCTACTGAATTACATGATTATAAGTAAATACATTAAAAATTAAATTTACAGATAAAATTGAGTTCAAACCGTTCAATGTTCGTTCTAAATAGTCAGTTTAAATCTG